TTTGTAATAAGTAAATCTTATTAATTGTTAAACTGTATTAAGAAATATACCTAAAAAGACTTTTTTCATTGAAGTACGGTACTTTTCCTTCAAAATTTAAATTGTCAGCAACCATTTGACAAAGGATTTCCGCAATTTTCAATTACAAATTAGGAAACTCAGCATTTTCTGGGAAGGTATTTTTTTTCTAATTATTATGCAAAGCTTAATTAACTGAAGAGAAATTCATTTACCTACGAGGAAATTAGGCTGACAGTTTATGTTATAATACATTTTTACTCGAAAATAAGCTGGTTACAAATATTCAATGGAAAAAAGCTTGGTTGTGTTTCTTGTATACCACCTATCTGCCTGTGCATAATCGCAGGATTAAAATTATATGTAGATTTAATGTAATACTAAAGCCTATGACACAGTAGAATAAAACAAGTAGGGTAACTGTGTACGAAATAATAGCGTGTCGCACACATTCGCATAATAATGAAACAAATAACCAACAAATAACTGATGTGATGAAAGGCGCGTTGGAACGAACGGTCCCATATCTTTCTACATAAGTTTTGTTTATAGTGCCCCTCCCTATGAACCTCTTGGTTATGCGGGAAGGGCAGTATATAATAATAATAATAAATAACTCACACACTCAACATAGCCCCGCACTAGGGAAACCCTGTGTCGCGGATGCTATGGACACACACATAGACAAACACAAATTACACCCAAACTCACGAGAGAAACAATTGTAGGCCACACAAATATTTCTCCCGGCCCGGGAATCGAACCTGGGACCTCTGCGTGGCAGTCCGGCATGGTAACCATTCGGCCACGGAAGCAGTTAAATGATAAAATTAAAAGTATGAAGTGCGAGCTCGTACAGGGCCCATGTAAGTCAGGTCCGAACCCCGGATCAGCACGTTTGCACGTACTTCATCCGGTTCCCTGTAAGGCTAGTGCCTTAGGTGAGCCGCCCCGGGTGCACGTACAGCACCCTCCCTATTTTCACGATAGGTACTGGATCCGTAGGCATGCTCACTTCCCGTCGCGCACGTTGGGACGAACAGTGTTATGCAATGCTATAGGCTTTAGTACATATATTGTATATATATTGTTTTTTTTTAACACACACTCTCAACATAGGGGCTAGGGGCACTAGGGAAACCCTGAGTCGCGGATGCCATGGACACACACATAGACAACCAGAAATTACACCCAACTCACGAGATAAATAAATGTAGGCCATACAATTATTTCCCCCCGCCCGGGAATCGAACCTGGGACTTCTGCGTGGCAGTCCGGCATGGTAACCGTTCGGCCACGGAGCTAGTTCGTTCGTGGTGAGAGTACTGACCGAATATCAGTCGAGAAGGAGGAGTTTTGGCCGAAGGGTGTCGTATATCGGCGTTTCCGGGCTCGTTACCTGACAGCAGATTGCGCCACACGCCGCCGACAAGTGTAATTCGTGTAGAGTAGTTATTTAGTTTATTATATTGTTATATTATATTGTATATGTATTAGTCATTAAGGTATATATTATATGGGTCATGTGGCTTGAAATAAATTACTTCATAAATAAATAAATAAGATAAATAAATATATAGTATTTGGTATATATTAAAGGCAACTGTAACATGAACTGTACGGATTTATTTTTATATATATACCAAGTGACGGGACGAGCAAGTCGTGCACCTGATGGAAAGCGACACGCCTGTCCATAACAGTTGCAGTGTCACTCAAAGTTTTAAATCGCAAAAGTCTGAGGGGCACCCTCACTGCGCCTGTCACTCTGAGACATAAGTTGATAAGTCCCATGTGCCTGTAATTTCACCAACACCCTTACCCTACAAAACTGAACGCAGTAATGCTCACATTACTACTTGGCGGCCGAAATAGGTAAGGTGGCAGTACTCCCCTGGACGAACTCTGTCACAAGGAGCTCTGAAATTCGTGTCCGGTCCGAACCGAAAACCTTAAACCTCATTACAATATTCATTTTATTGATTACCATAATGTTTTTACTAACATGATATTTATATCTATATTATTATTTTTTATATCTACTTGTTTGTTGCCATTATTGATTAAAGATCATAATAGCCCTGGTTTGGAAAAAAAGTCGCTGGTTCGAATCCAGCCGGAACGAATGAATTTTTATTTGTATACCTGGAAGGCAATGGAAGCGAATTTTTGTAATAAAATTTTACATAAGTAGCTTATACTTTATGAGGGTAGTTTGATAAGTACGTGACTTTAAGATTTTTTTAAATTTATGGTTTATTTTTCTACGTAATCTCCTTTTAACTCTATACACCTTGACCAGCGATATACCAACTTCTTCAACTCTTATTTGTTTTTGATTTTGTCAAACTGAAAACTAAGCCTCTGTTTCAGTTATCACTTCCCCATTTGATGCAAATCGGTAAAAAATCAGATAAAAAATCCAAATGCTGTAGACTAAAAAATTTTAGTTTGTACATTGCTTAATTGACATAAACGTCATTATGCTACGGTAACGAATATTTTGCTTCCATTCAGTTCCGCGGCAATGTAAATTGAGCCTTACCTTCCATAAAAAATGTCATAATTTTTATGTAAAATAAAAAAGTGTCTGCGGCTAAAGTTCTTACCGCATGAAGCCAAAAAAGACGGAAACAAAAAATATTCAAAATTTCCGCTGGCTTTCAAAACTCATTTTGCTTAATGTTTTTAAAGAATTTAAACTTTCTTTCGTCACATATTAAAGAATCTATTTGAATGTATTGTGCTCTCTGTCATTGACATTCACTGCCAGCGCAAAGCTTTCAAACATTCTATTCATGATGTAAATCGAGTGGAACATTGAAATACGCTGCAATGTCGCGAGGTAGTTTCAATACATATGTGCATAACGTACACGAACAAAAATGGCTCAGTTTACATATCTTTTATTCAACTTAACCCTTTGATGCGGGAAACAGTGTCGCTCAAATACACGAGGTGACGGCGGCGGTGGCACCCAACTACTTCCTATTTAGCGTATATTTTCTAAAAATCCTAAACATATTGTCAAGCAAGTACTAGCACAAATAATCAGAGATGTGTAAACTAATATTTTTCGCTTTGTAGACACTGAGGTTGAAATGGTAGCTAGAAACACATTAGTGGAATTGAAACCTCTTTGCCAAACTTAGAATTGCAAAATAGTGAGTGCAACCACTCTGAAATGCCGTTTGACTCAAAGAAAACATTTTCTGTTTTTTTTTCTTCCATTACCCAAGATTTGTAGCGCTCATTGCGATCAGACAGTTCTGTCTTTAGTTTGAATCGGCGACATAAACGTCATAATCGTTCGTTGTACTAATTAATTATTTCTTTATGAAGGCTTAAGCGCAGGCCACACCGCGAACGAAGCTAGCTAACTTAGTTTAGCTCACATAGTTGCATGCAACCAACTACGTATGATGCGTTGCGACGTGAAATAGCAGACATAAACTATCTCTTTAAAATTACCACTAATATCGTCGACTGCCCCGAGCTTCTATCTGAGATTCACTTATGGGTTCCAGCTACGCATTTACGTAACGAGTCACTAATTCATTTACCTGTCGCTTTACAAAATTACAAACGGAATTCGTTTATATGGTGTGCGAACAATAACTTTAACAACGTTTCTGCTCTTTACGATTTTGATTTGTTTAACACAAGCTGTGCGTACGTTACAAAAGCATATTATCTAATTCATTTTTTATTAATAAAGCGAGCTAATTTGGGTAATGTTATGTAATGTTGTTTGTAATGTGTGTGTGTACAATGTCATTTAGTTGTTAAGTGTTGTCAATGCTGTATACTGCTATAGTATTTTTATCAGTAGGGAACTGTTTTTGCTTATAATTACTTAATATACTTTCTACTGCATCGTGATACAAGCTGTTTGTACCCTCAAAAATAAAATAAATAAATAAATAGCTAAGCCAAGTGAGCTCGCTTAGCTCACGTAGTTCCATGCAAAACTAAGCTAAGAAAATATGTGCGGGGGTGAAGGGCGACATATTTTACCTAGCTAGCGGGTTCGTTGATTTAGTTCAGTTCGCCCGGTTAGCTTAGTTCGCGGTGTGAACCGAAGTATGAAAAGATGCCCCGGCTGCTACGTGAGCTTAGCTAAGCTAGCTTAGCTTCGTTCGCGATGTGGCTTGATGTGTGGATAAGACCAAATATCATTTACTGTAATTGCAGATATTTTTTCATTCCTTTATTATGAGCATTTTACATTTACAACAAAATTAATTAAGAAATTAAGGTCTTTGTTAATGAGTTGAAAAACTCCACACCATCTCTTTGAACAACTTTCGTCATTCTTGGTTCAGAATTTCAATTTGAAAATGGTATAATGTTAATAGAACATATGTCTACGTATAATTTTGTGTTCGTTTGTGTTCTCCTGGGGTGGTTAATCAAACTTGAAGAAGCGACGACAGCGGAAACTAATTTGATCTAAAGTTGGCGGCGGCGACGCGGCCAAGTTATTTGCCTTAATAGTTATGATCCTTAAAGCAATGTACATAATATTGTCTTCCACCGCTCTGTGTACCTTCACTGGATATCTGTAATATACTCTTGCGATAAATTCGAGGACGAGTGAACCGTTCGTGGCCAAAACTTGTTTGAAACTTCGATTATGCTGAGCATAAACGCGCTCTACCTTGAAATATGAGGGCTACCGTTCGGTATTGGAACATTTCACCTTGATAGGATGATTGTAATATCTTGAAATGCCGAATAAGATTAAGTGTTTTAGCTAACTTTGAAGTTATTCACGAATTGTGCTGAAATATATCTTTTTAGGTTATATCTTGCAAGCAAAAAGTAAGAAAATATCTTATTAAACTTATTTTATCTTTTCCCTCTAAGAAACTAAGAATCATGGAATAGTTGGCCGGTCATGGACGAAATAACACGTCATGGAGTGTATAAATAATTCATTACTACTTAATACAATGAGGTAACAAAGATACGGCACTGACCTTTTTGGGTTTCCCGTTCTTCCTGAGCAGCTTGGCGCAGCAGAGGCCGCGGGTGTCGGGCAACGGCGCAGGGGGGCGGCGCGACCAGCATAGCCTCTTCGGACTTGCACTTCCCTCGCTGCGCATCTCCTCTTTATCTTCACACATCGCCCCTCGTCTCATACTCCACCCCCTAAGCTACCCACGAAAAATCACAACCTATAAGATATCGATGCTTTATGAGAACCTGCGGCATTGTTTCGCCTATAAAACTCGGACTCCGCTCGATTACACTATCTTTTCCCAATATATTATAGTAAATAGCGACGATTTGGCAAGCCGTTTCTCGCGAGCTGTTTTGTAATGTTACTACGTTAAGACGCAATCTAAAAATAATCTTTTTAGAACAGTAAGTTCGATATTTTGTACTATATATGCTTTGTTAATGTTATTGAGCAGACTACGTATATTGTACAGGAATCTTCAGAAACGTCCGATTCAGCATCTGAAACAATGAGACGATTGTAATTAATTAATGCCAATTATTAATTTACTCAAAGTGATGTCGTGTACTTTGATTACCGGGAGTAGTCGTACTTTCATTAAGGATGATATTATTATTTCAAGACTTTTGTATTTGGTTCAATGTTCAAGACAATTAATTAAATTATGACTTAACAACTCAAAGTAGCTATAACGTATAATTTTGTTAAAAAAAATATAATAACATTTTTTAACATTTGCAATGTTCTATATATGCTCTAATTAAAAGCTTAATTGCGAGTGTGGCAAATGTACAAATGTTAGGAGCGCAGGTCGGTGGTAGGGAGCGGTAAACTCTAGTCGAATGGACTCGTGTTGTCTTCCCACAAATTTTCGGAGGGTAATAATCTGAAGGTATGCGATACCTTTACCTATACACTTACCTATTCACAAAGTTTTATTATTATAAGTAAGTAGAATTTTAGGTAAAAAGTTATATTAGTTTTATTTCAGTAAAACCTTTTACTCCACTGAAATTTTGAGAAATGGATAAGCCGTTCCATACTAAAAAGGGACAATTTCAGGTTCTATTTGAACGGTTACGTTTGATGGCAATGTTTTTTTATAATACTAAGTGACGGGACGAACAAGTCGTGTGTCTCGTGGTAATCGTCGCGCCTGTCCCTAACAGTTGCAGTATCACTCAGACATTTAAATCATAAAGATCAGAGAGGCACTGCCACTGCGCCCGACACGTAAGTTGATAAGTCCCATTTTCCTCTAATTTCACCTGCACCCTTATACATATTATCAATTAGAGCGATGAAAAAAGGAAAAATTTATAACATTTTGTAAATAAAAACACAGCAATAGACAGGTTGTACCAATAACTGAGTATCTACCATGAATTAGTATCGTACTATTAGTAGCAGTAGCGCTCCTTGTGAGAGAGTTCATTCAGGAAAGTACTGCCACCTTACCTATTTCTGCCGCAGAGCAGCAATGTGAGCATTATTGTATTCTGGTCTAGAAGGGTATTTGTGCCAACTTTGTTTCAGTGTGACGAGCGCAGCGGCAGTGCCCCTCTGATATTCGCGATTTAAAGCTCTGAGCGGCACTGCAACTGTTATAGACAGACGTGTCACTTGTCCCCAGACACACGACTTGTTCATCCCATAACCTAGTATCATAAAAAAACTTAATAAATACGATTTAAATGAGTTACTTGTAGTTGGCAAAAGTTGTATTTCCGGAGGTTATTCGAAATAGACAATCACGTTCCACTCAGAACAAAACAGTATACTATCTTTTCCTTTATACCTACTTCCTTTTCTATAATACCAAGTAACGGGACAAACAAGTGCGCCTGGTGTTAAGCGACACGCCTTTCCATAACAGTTGCAGTGCATCTCTGGGCTTTCAAACGCAAAGATCTGAGGGGCGCTGCCATTGCGCCCGTAACCCTGGGACATAAGTTGACAAGTCCTGTGTGCCTGTAATTTCACCAGCGCCCTTACCCTTCAAAACCGGAACGCAGTAATGTTCACATTACCGCTTGGCGGTAGGAATAGGTAAGGTAGCAGTATCTTCCTGGATGAACTCTTTCACAAGGAGCTATACTACTATTAAAATTAAAATACCTACTCAACTAAAATGTATAGAACTGTTAAAATATTCTAAAATCAAAGAAAATGTCACCTGCTGTAAATTTTACTTTTCAAAACAAGTAATTTCGATATAAAAAAAAAGACATTTTTAATAATAAATATTGTGCTAAGCAGCCGCACCAATTACTTGGTTCGAAACTAAGGATTTCCCCGTATTGCATAAAGTTCAAACCGTTTTGCCATCGAGGTCGTTGATCGTTCTTGGTTGGCAGGTTGGTAGTACTCCTCAGTTGTTACAACCAAGGGAAACTCTAAGTAGTAATTTACACTTACTTTGAATTAAAATTTCTTCATATATAATTAATAAACACAAAACTGTACGTAAGTATCAAAACAAAGCACTATCAGTAAACTCCACTCCAACACTCTGTATTAAATCTAGGATAAGCCAATAATCACTCTTCATCCGCTCTAGTACTACCAACATACACGAGCTTACATCGGAGGATAAATGTTTGCGTATGAAATTGCCAGGGCAATATCGCGTTCAAATACGTGAAATTCTAAAACAAAGTCAAATAAAACTTTATTTCGAATAGAATTTTGTAAACACTGAGTTCACTACTGACATTGATAGAACGTAATTTACATAGATCTTTAACAAATGCACCTACAGATTTTCCCATATATTTATACATACGAACATACATATGTATAAAGGTTATGTTCCTCTTTAAAAGACGATGAGTTGTTTAATGTCAAAACCCCAAAAGTTGGATAAATTAACCCCACTGTATATAATGTCCTTTGTCACAACCAGTAATCCCTAAAATACTTCAAATGAGAAAGGATTTGGATAGATGTTTGTTACTCAATCACGTTGAATCGGCTAAACGGACTCAAACGAAATTTGGTAGATAGATAATTTTAATCCTGGCCAAGCACATACTGTACTTTTATAAACATGAATGAAGTGGGGGACAGGAGCTAGTCTATGATAGAAATTATCTTCCTAAGTTATTAATATTTTGATAATAATATTCGTTTTTGTACAAAAGTACGCTTATTCATATTTCTAATTTACACAGAAAGTAATCAAAATGAGACAACTCACTCATAGTCATGAGTGACGCTACAAACTCGGCATCTCTGTCGACGGCATGTCAAGCCTCAAGTCTACACAATTTCAGCACAACTCGTCTAATTTCCATGTAATTTGTGTTCTCGGGGATTTACGTCTTAAAGTAAAAATGTAACTCGGCACCGTGGTGAATATTAAGTGCTACACGGCTAATGAATGCAAGAAACTTTGCTTGACATAATTACGCCGAGCTCATTGAATTCTTTGCCAAAACTCGTCTCGTTGCTATTCTTGACGGGTAACTGAGTGGATCGCTGGTACTTTTAGCATTTAGTAAATTTGTTTCTTAGCTTTAAACTTGGTTAAGACTGAGGGAGATTATTCTAGGAATAATTCTTCTTTGATGAGTCATTTAAAATTTTCCCCGAAGTTTTATAGTTATGCATAATTTGTTCAGGAGAAGACGAGGATAGATGTGACACAAACCATGTTCTATTAACTTGTGAAAGAGATCGTAAAGTACTGCTATTCGACCTATTTCTGCCGCCAAGCGGTAATGTGAGCACTATTGCGTTCCGTTTTGAAGGGTATTGGTGAAATTACAGGTACATGAGACGTGTTAGACAACTTGTTTCAGGTATCCTTCAGACCTTCGCGATTTAAAGCTCTGAGTGGCACTGCAACTGCTATGAACGGGCATGTCACTTAACATCAGGCACACGACTAGTTCGTCGCGTCACTTATCGTCTTAATTATGAACTAATAATTTGGACTCTTTAATGAAGTTAGACCACGAGCATATACGTAAATACGTGCGGTAAAAGCGGAGCAACTTCCGTTTATGCGCTAACTACCTATTACTACGAGTTCCAAGTTAAAGGCCGCTCCAGCATTAACACAGATTCATGGTTTACAAGCACAAATTCGTGCAGACGGGGGAAATTAGAGACGAAGTGCTACGACCTAGCAGTGCTACGAGGCTACAAATCATTTCCAACAAAGCACTTTTGCTAAGGCAATGTTAAAATAGAATTTATAAAAGTATAACACAAGACGATTCAAATTATGTATGTAATGTGAGCTGTGCAGTTAATGAAGGCCTTTCATCTTTACAAGATGCTGGGTATAGACCTCTACAAAAAGAAGGATTTGCTGTAATTGCCGCGTCTGGCGGGGCGTTGGCAATCACAGAAAAGCTTTACTGTGACAGATTTATTATTTAGTTACTTTGTATGACACAAAGTAAGAAGTGGTCCTATTTAACAGAGTAATTAAAGCTACCGTGAAAAAGGTAGGTATGAAATTAGGATGTGATAACATTTTGGAATATGTCCGCAAACAATACCCCTACCTACACCCTTACAGCTCAATTAATGAAATGTAAAAGTTGAAGGCAGATGTTACACCTCGTCACTGCGGTATAGTTGTATTCACGCCGCAATTTTGGATTCATTCCAACGGCTAATATCCCATTCTGTTTGTCTTTCGAGGCAATAAAATGACTTTTATGCAAATCATACGAATTCTATACATTTTTGATGAGCCGCTCCCGACGCATTCTAGAGCTTTAATTAATATATTTTTCCATCAAAAGTTTGGAGTTTTAAATTTGCAGATTATTTTTCTTAGCGAGTTTGACGTTCGAATATTAATTAACGATAATTTTTTCTATAATTTTACCGAAGCTAACTTTTTCCGATAAGGATTTTTTTGTTAAAATTGCAATTAACAACAAGTTCATTATACTCTAAAAGGATTTGGTAAATGGCCGCAATGTGTACTTCATTGCTGTATTTACGTACACGCTAGCTACCACACATAGTTTCAGAATTTTATGGCTTTTAATGTGGAATGAGAATTTTCACTACAATTCCTGTTGTATCGTTTCAACTGTTAGATTATCATTTTAATTTAAAGGAATTTTCTGGTTGAATAAACTCATTATATTATAAAGGTTTAAACTAACGATTTTAAATAATGAAAGAAGGCAATATATC